AAATATTAGCTTATTCTGAAAGGATTACATTGATTTTTTTTACTTAGAAGTTTTTAATACCAAAATAATAAAAATGCATGTTTTCAAAAAATCCTACAAAGCTTATTTTTTAAATAATCAGCATTCCTTTCCTTTCACCATTGCATACATGCGCCCCCCTACACACACACACACACAAACACACACACACAAATCCACATGTAATAATTTTCAATTCTTAGTTGTTTTAGATTTGCCTAACACAGCTAAATAACCTAAACAGAATGTCATAAAACAAGCCACAATAAATGTAAATTGATTTAAATGAAACAAAGAATGTTCTCTAACTACAAGGGATTTATATTAGAAATCAATAATAGAAAGAAATTTAGTAAATTCACAAATACGTGGAAATTAAACAACACGTTCTAAATAACCAATGGTCAAAAAGAAATTATGTGAGAAATTGCTAAACACTTTGAGAATAAAAATGAAAATGCAACTTATCTAAACTTTTGAGATAAAGGTAAAGGAGGGCTTAGAGGGAAATGTCTTTCTTTAAAGACTATATGAAAAAAATGAGAAAGATCTCAAATCAATGCCATAACATTTCATAAAGAAAGAAAACAAAAGATAAATTTAAACCCAAAGCAAACATAAATAAGTAAATAATAAAGGATCAAGTGAAAATGAATGATATAAAGAATTGAAAACAACACTGAAAATCAATACCAAGAGCAGAATTGTGAAAATATCACCAAAATTGACAAACTTTTAGATAGGTTGACCAAGATAGAGAGATGGCTCAATTTTATAAAATCTAGAATGAAAGAGGAAACACTATTACCTACCTTACAGAAATAAAAAGAATTAGATAACACCATGAACACCTGTATGTCAAGAAATTAGATAACATACATACAATTTTTCAAGAGTAGAAAATTTGAATAAACTTATAACAGGCAAATGGATTGAATTAATAATTTTTAAAAATCTGACAAAGAGAAGCCCAGGACCAGATGACTTCATTGATGAAATATATCACTAATTTAAAGAAGAATTAATAGAATCCTTCATAAATCCTGCCACAAATACAAGTGGAGAGACCACTTTCCAATTTATTCAAAGAAGCTTAATATTATCCTGATGCCCAAACCAGACAAAAACATCACAAGGAAAAAAACAAACTATAGATCAATATCCCTTATAAGAATAAATGCAAAAATCTCTTAACAAAATACTAGGAAACTGAATCTAGCAATACATAAAAAGGATCATATCTCATGACGAAGTGGGATTTACTCTAGGAATATGATGTTAGTTTAACATATAAAAATTAATCAATACAATACACCATATTAATAGAATAAAGAACAAAATAATATGATCATCAAAGCAGATAAAAATAATATAATAAAATCCCACATACTTTCATGGTCAAAAAACTCAACAATCTATAGAAGGGAACTTCCTCAACCTCATAAAGGGCATTTACATATATATATATATGTATCTAACATCATATTTAAAGGTGAAAAATACCTTTTCAGGAACAAGACAAAGATGTTTGTTCTATTCAGCACTGTACTAAAGGTTCTAGAAATTAGATACTAAAAAAGTGAAAGGTATCCAGAATGAAAAAGCAGAGTAAGGACAACTATAAAACACCTATGAAAGAAATTGAAAAGGACACACAAAAATGGAAAGATAATACATGTTCATGGAGTCGAAAAACTAATATTATTAAAATGACAATATTACCCAAAGAAATTTATAGATGCAATCCCTACCAAAGTACCAATGACATTCTTTACAGAAAATTTTTAAAATCCTAAATTTATATGGAACCACAAAAAAATCCCAAATAGCTAAAGCAATCATGAGCAGAAAGAACAAAGCTGAAGGCATCACATTATCTGACTTCGAATTTTACTACAGAGCTATAGTAACCAAATCGGCATGGAAATAACGTAAAAACAGACACATAGACCAGTGGAACAGAATAGAGAACACAGATATAAATCCAAGCATTTATAGCCAACTAATCTTTAACAAAGGTGTCAAACCTTTTCTATTTTCAGTTGACATAAAGTCCTATATAGAAAATTCTAAGTAATCCACTAACAGACTATTAGCATACATAAATTCAACATCATTGCAAAATACAATGTCAATGTTGAAAATCAATTGTTTTTTATACACTTGCAATGAATACTCTAAAAGGGAAATTAAGAAAACAATTGAATTTAGAAATAAATTTAACAAAAATGAGAAATTTGTACACTGAAAATGGTCAATAATATTGCTGATAGAACCTTTTTGAAGAGCAACTTGGCAATACATATTGACAGCCTAAATTATGTGCATAGAGTTTGACCTAACTTTTCTACTTCTACAAATATACCATGAAAACTTGTAATGTGAAAGCAAACATTTATCTACAAGGACTCGTTTTACAGTATCATTTATAAAGCCCAAAAAGAGGAAAAAGACAAAGTGCACAGTGAGAGAGATTACTCAAATAACCATGACACAGTATTGCTATAAGATAGTACAAGGTATTATCCCTAAAAAATTAAATTGCATTTGGAATACTTAATGATACAGAAAGCCGTTCATGAAATTTTAATTCATATAATAATTTTTAAAAGTGGGTTAAAAATAGTTAACAAAGTATAATTTTGAAAAAAATTACAAATATAGAAATATATTTATAGAAATGAAGGCAAAGAAGAAAAATAAAGATATGCCAAAATATTGCCTGTGGTCATTATTAAGTAATAGAATTTAGAGTACTGCTTATTTTTTCTTTCTGTTCTTCTAAATTTCACACAAATTTGACAATAAACTGTAATAATCAGGAAAAGAATATAATTTAAATACAAGATTAAAATACAAGTTGATGCTGACAAAACTTTTAAATGGTTAGGATATGTGAGAGAAGAGTAGCCTTTGAAAGATATTAGAATACTGCAAAAGTTGAAAAGATAAATATCCTCTGAAACTCTCCAAAGTACCTTGTTAATTATGCTCTTTGTCTGAATTAGATAAGCAACATATTGTATTATTTAATAAATATAATACTTTGACAATATTTCATGCACTGCAAAATTGTTTGCTAAAAATATAAAAGGAAAATCTAAATAATATTTCTATTCTGATAATATTTGCAAGTCTAAATTAAATGAAAAATTAAATTAATTAAATTAAAGCCAAAGAAAAATATTCTTAAGATGATTTTTTAAAAGTCAAAAGATATTCTCTCCTTTCTTGATAACCTTGATAAACTGTATCTACCTAAATATTACTGTTCATAAATGTAGACAAATAATTACTTCACACGAAATCCATAGAAAATGAATAGTATAGTATACATCTGAGTACACTTAATGTTGTATATAAGATAAAATTATTTCATTTACTTTGATGTCAGAAAAGTAACCTTTGCTCTCCCACTGTGCTTGTCTAAAACTAGAACAGACACAAGAATGAACATTGTAGACAATATCACTTCATTTTAATCAAATGTGTATAAAACTCACAAAACATATCCCAATTGAAGTATTGTACTTAAGAATAGCAAAATTAATCTTAATCATTTTCTAACATCTAAACTTGTCTTCAAACTTTCTTTTTTTCCTTCTGAAAGGAAGGAAAGTAACATCTAAACTTGTCCTCAAACTTTCTTTTTTTCCTTCTGAAAGTAGCTAAATAACAGCTACTATCGTTTCTAAAATAAGATTTTGATTTCAGTAAAAATAACACTACTAAAAATTGGATTATTAAAGATAGTAGTTAGTAGCATTAAATACAGTTTTACTATGCTATTAAGTACTTTCACATAATTCTATTCCACACCTATTGGGTACAAAGCATCAATCTAGTCATACTGGAATATTAAAAAAAAGGGTTTTTTGACATAAGAACCTTTTTTTTTTTTTTTTTTTTTTTTTTTTTTTTTTTGAGACAGAGTCTCACTCTGTTGCCCAGGCTAGAGTGCCATGGCATCAATCTAGCTCACAGCAACCTCAAACTCCTGGGCTACAACCAAACGATCCTCCTGCCTCAGCCTCCCAAGTAGCTGGGGCTACAGGCATGCACCATCATGCCCAGCTAATTTTTTCTATATATTTTCAGTTGGCCAATTAATTTCTTTCTATTTTTAGTAGAGACGGGGTCTCACTCTTGCTCAGACTGGTTTTGAACTTCTAACCTTGAGCGATCCTCCTGCCTCAGCCTCCCAGAGTGCTAGGATTACAGGCATCAGCCACCACACCCAGCCCATAAGAATTTTACACTCTGATTGCCATAAAGAAGTTTGATTCTGGTTTGGAAAGATGCAGCAACATGCCCCTTCACATGATGAGTAGGAAGAAGCTCTCTCCTTGGCCATTCTGTTACAGAATCTATGAAGCAAAAGCATATGAGAGCTGGCTCCTGAAACGTGAACAGTGATACTCTTTCCTTCTGAGCATATTCCAGAAAAGGAAAGGGTTGTTTTGTTTTGTTTTGTTTTGTTTGCATTGTTGTTGTTGTTTACTCATCATACATCAAAGTAACAATATAAAAGGGAACTGGTATCATAGCAACCCCTCTTAAATCATTAGAGTATGTCTTTGGTAATTTCAGGTAGTGATTCCAAGAGCACTTAAGCATATGCCACTCAAATATAAATACAAAGGACAAGCTGGCTGAAATATAAGTGATTATTTGGTTAGTCTAAACTTTACTTTCCTTTACAACATGCCATATCTTGAATTTTCTAGACATCATCACAAAGACCACACAATTATAAGTCCCCTCTATGTGCCCTCTGCTCCTCTTGAGGCACTGTGCAAGTATGAGCCAGATACTTCTGGGAATCACCTTACTGAATTAAAAGGGTACATGCAGTCGTTCTCACAAGTCAGACAGTGATCCCTTACCGACAGAATTTAGGTGACCTTTGTTAAGTTCTTGGTTAGAATTACCCATAATTCCTCTACCCTCCACTAATATGAGGAATAGAAAGCTGAACTTACTTCTCTGGGAGAAAATGCTATGCCACATTTCAAAGATGCATTTTCCTCTACTTCAAAATAATATACGTAAGGAACTGCAGGGTCTGTACATGCCACTGTAAGACATGAAAAAGTACATATAAAATAGAGCCAGATACGCATTTATAACCATTATTTAAAGTGGAAATATGAACTTTGAGAAACCTCATCAATATATTCATAACAATCACAAAGCAGCTCCTGAAATATCTGTGCAGGGGTGCATAAGGATGTTAGGTAAAGAATTGCTCTTAATGTCTAGATTCCAATTAGCAAAAATGATACACAAACACAGAACACATACACATTCAATAAGCAAAACAGAGATGGTAAATTCATTAAATAAATTTTAAAAACCCTCCAATTTTTAAGAAGCACATAATAGTCAGATGACTGTGGAAAGAAATAAAAGTACATATCATCATCTCACTGATAAAATTACTGTTCACTTGTTGAGGACATGTAAGATGTCTTATTTATCTTTATAGACTCAAAATCTAGTATCCTGTCTATAAATAGGATTCAACAAATATTTACTGAAGAAGAAATGACTAAACCAATGGTTAGGAAACTTTCCCTGTAAGGATCCAGATAGCAAATATTTTAAGCTTTATGAGCAATATGGTTTCTATCACAAATATTCAACTTGGTCATTATAGCATAAAAGCAGCCATAGGCAATATACAAACAAATGAGTGTGTTCTAACTAACTTTATTTATAAAAAGAGGTGTCAGGCCAGATTTGGCCCATGGCCATTTCTTTGCCAACAGCTGGAGTAAACAGATGAAATGCACTTAAAAATGCTTATTTTGTTTAAACCTAATTTAACATAAAGATACTAATACATGAGTAACATATAGAAAGAGCTTTCCAAGGACATTTACCTAAAATTCTTGAGCAATTAAAACTAGTAATTAATAACTGCATTTCATTTATAGTATACAATTATATATAACATACTTAAGATACTATATTAAACCAACTAATAAGTATGGTTATATGTCATGTATTACCAAAGTGTTTTGATATTAATATAGATGTATTTCTAAAAATTAAACCATGATGAGTTATGGAGTATAAGAAAAACATGCATTGGGCCATTAAAAACATTGAGGAATAACTTCCCTTGACTTAAATTGATTTTAACAATTATACATTAGAGCAATTTAAAACTATGTTGCTATTACAATATACCATTATAGTATAAAATACATATAAAATATATACCTGATTTGTCTTCAAGATCCATTGAAAAATCTTGGAAGTCTTCTAGATTAAACTCCACTCTGGCACGTGTTATACCTTTGTTTTTTATTACAAATGGAAGAATGTGGGTAGTACCAATATAGGTGCCACTGAAGTTAAATACATCCTAAAATTTAAAAATAATAATTAGAAAGTAGAATAATAGTTTATGGAAAATATAAACTAAAAATTATAATGTATGTTTATCAAGGAAATTATTAACTGCAAAGCAGAACTCTATAAAAATCAGTCACATTTTCCTTTCTCTCCTCCACCTCCTATCTGTAATAAGTTGCCAAATCCTATTAATTCTTTTCTCTTCTTTACTTCTTACATTTAATGTAACTGTACAAAATTAGTAACTCATTGCTTTTCATTTACTTTCTAGATTTTGGCTTTCTCAAATGCTCCCCTCCATAATGAAGCCAAAATTAAACTATTAATGTTAATAATTGAGAATCTGACCACATCACTTCCTGTCTTCAAATTTGATGATTCCCCACTATTGACAGAATAATGTCCAAGTTTATTAGCAAGGCTCACAAAGCTCACCATAACCTTCCCCTGCCTCATGTTTCAGCCTCTTCTAGCTCCACTCTCACCCTATCACTTAAAATTTCAGTAAGCCGTATGACTTGTCATTTCCAACCAACACCTGATGCTTCACCCTGTGTGTTTTTGTATTGGTGTCCCTTCTGTCAGAAAGGCTCTTCCCTCACTTGTAATTTTCTGATAAAATACTATGCATCCTTCAAACTCCAGTTAGATAAACTATAATTTGGCACACTCTGCCCAGGATTACTTCTCTTCCTTATATTTATATACATTGTGATATCACATAGACTATTTATTCATTTACATATCTGTCTCTCCTACTGGACCTTAAGCCTGATTCATTTTTGTATCCTTAACACCTATCCGACATCTACTTTAAATATATAAGGAGTGTTTATTGAATATATCTGAACTCTAGCTCATACACCAGGCATGTGCTTACACCACAAAAGTATAGGATTCCTTCTTGTGGTAGAGTTAGTACAGATACCATAGAGCTTCTTTTTTTTTTTTTTTTTTTTTTGAGACAGAGTCTCGCTTTGTTGCCTAGGCTAGAGTGAGTGCTGTGGCGTCAGCCTAGCTCACAGCAACCTCAAACTCCTGGGCTCAAGCAATCCTACTGCCTCAGCCTCCCGAGTAGCTGGGACTACAGGCACGCGCCACCATGCCCGGCTAATTTTATATATATATATTAGTTGGCCAATTAATTTCTTTCTATTTCTATAGTAGAGACAGGGTCTCGCTCAGGCTGGTTTTGAACTCCTGACCTTGAGCAATCCGCCCGCCTCGGCCTCCCAGAGTGCTAGGATTACAAGCGTGAGCCACCACGCCCGGCCCATAGAGCTTCTTAATAAAAGAATTACATATAACATTCAAAGGAGTTTGAGGAAACAGTATCCTAATATTGAGGAAAATACTGTATTAAAGTCAATTGGCTACTATTTGTTTCATTTAAAACATAAACCCAGTTCTATATGTGAAATTTGTAAAATCTGAAATGGATAATGAAAGTTTGATGTTTTATATATGTAAAAACAATCACTGCTCTTATCCCATTCTGGCCTTGCTCTCATGCTCATTTGGATAAAATTTCCTAATTGTTATTAAGACACATGGTCAATTCCCTAGCCTTACTATACAGTTAATAAATGAATTGCTGAAGATATCTGGTGATGCTAAAATATCATTTTAAAAAGGCAGCTACATCTAAAATACGATGTAATAAGGGCATATGGAAAAATATATTAATGTAAAGTTCTATAAATTATTCAATTGTACCATACATGCAAAGCATTCCCCAAATGACTTTAGGATTAGAAAAGAAAGTAATAAATGTCTCAATATTGTATAGTATTTTTCGAGGGATACCATAGCAATGGAATAAAAAAAAACCACTCTGGATACTACAGAGTTTCATCTCCAGGAATCACAATAGCCTTGTATATACAAGCTAGCTTAGTATCTGCCAGTTTATCTGGGCTTATCATGCTTTCACCACTGATTAATAGAGAGGTTAGAAAAATATAACTTAAAGCCAGATCCTAGAATTTTGGTGATGCCATTAAAGTGCAGACTAACAGAGAAGCACTAATCGAGGCTGCCAGCTGACCTCTTTATCATCAATTTTTGTTCAATTTAGTTCAGCACCAGAATGGTGCTAGGTGTTACTAGTACTAGTGGGAAAGAAAAACAGAGGACAGATAATACAAAAAAATAATATGACAACTGCTCTGATGAAGGTGTTCCTGAAGTGTAAGATGTTTGTAACATCTTATAAATGTCACAATGGGGAGCATATGGGCCTGCTTTAAAGAATCAGGAAAAGTTTCTTTGGGCAGATGAGACCAGAATTCCTGAAGGGTTGGACAGAAAAAAAAATGAACAAACTAAACTAAATAATCAACAGCTAAGGCACATATATATATATATATGCCTTTATATATATGCCTTTATATATATGCCTTTATATATATGCCTATATATGCCTTTATATATATGCTTATATATATATACATATATATATATATATATATATATATATATATAGTGCCATTATAGGCACTATAATATATAAGGGATAGGATCAGGATGAAGCCTACAGATTATTTTAATGGTATTGGTAGTGTTTGGATACTTAAGTTCAATAGGGAACTCTTAGAAGTCCATTTAGTATTATGTTTCATCACTCATGTTTATATGACATATATTAATTGTTATTAATTTTCAATTTTATATATGGTAATTTTATAAAATATTAATACACAGTAAAATATTTTTAAACATGAATGGGCTGACTAGGGACATATAACAGACAAAAATCACCACACTCATAAAATGATCACAAAAATAGGTAATATACTCACAGGGTTGATTTCGATAGCAGCAATCTCAACAGATCCACCAATCCTAAGGTCTATGGTATTTGCATGACGAATAGCAACCTTGTTTGGGATAAATATAAAACTTTGTAGAAACCACATTAAAATATAATTATATATTGCTGAAGTATTACCTGGCATTTACATAATATTTTGTAATTTAAATAAATAATAGCAACATATTATACATGTACAAAATTTATTCTGGAAATTGTCATTAAATAATCTTGTTTTGCAAAACTGATGCTCCTAGAAGAGTGAATATTCAACCATTGAAAACCACCACAAATGGGATCAGTTGATGGCTTGTGAACTTGAATGCACAGTTCTATCTATTTGACTAAACTTTATTGCCATTCTATGTAGCACTATTTTTATTTATCTAATTTCAATGGAATATTGAAAATTTAAAAAAAGAGCCTAAGTGCAGTATACTTCTTCTCCCAGAAAGATACTAATATTCACAACAACCACAATAATGATAGCAGCTAAAAGTTGCTGGCTATATGGACCAAGTACAGTGCTAAAAAACAGTATCCCCTTAATAATACTCAATATTCTATGATGTAACGACCATTTCTATCTCTAATATCAAAATGAAGAAAACTGACTCTTACAGAAGCCAAATATTTTGTCCTTTTTTTGAGGTCACAAACTTGAAAGCAGGAGTGGCTAAACCAAGGACCATCTGAATACTCAATTGCTTCCAAGAAAATTAACATTGTAAAGTAAAAATTCACTTGTATTATTCCTACACAATAAGAGCTTTAGATTATCTGAACATATAATTATTTAAGTAAAATGTCAGAAGCACAAAAATAGCATTCACTGAAAGCCCTACCTATATAAGAACAGGAAGGAGTGAAAGTCTGGATTTAAATCTAAATGTACATTATATCTGATAAAGCAAAGTGAGTGTATTTCATACTTCCACACAATCAGTGACACTGTTTATAGACAAAGAAACCACAAAATACTATTTTTTAGAATTTTGGGGAAAATCAATATGTCAACTAGATAGCCTTATTAAAGTTGCTGTATTCATAATACTACACTATTGTCACATTTTATTTAAAGAGTATATAATACACAAACAATATATTTGACTAAAAGCACAAGAAGCATAATTTAATGATTCAGAGGAAGTTACAAATTGACATAATCTTCATTAATGAACCCTGTATACAAGTCCCAGCTCCCGATGTCTGCCTTTGATATACCTCGTCATCATTTCTTCTTCACTGAAGATTCTTGGCTGTCATAACTCACTAATCATCCTAGTCCTTGACCTTTTCATCTCTAGAGACTTAAACTAAACACCGGACAATATCATTCCTCACAAATCCACCACCTCTGAAACTATACATTTATTCATCTATCTCATTCCCACAACCTCCTTTCACTCCTGCTTTCTTACACATTTTAAGAAACAATAGTCCCTGGATGTCACATGTCACAGAGACTTTCAAGCCTGTGATGTGTGATGTTCTCCAGATCAGCCCTAATTCATCTGTCTCTATTTTCTCTTTTATTCAACTTCTTCTAAAGTTTATCATTTCATCTTCTCAATAATATATTCAGTCTGTTGGCACTCATCCGGGTCCTCACAGGAACAATAGAAAAATTCTCTTCCATCTCTATAATGAATCCTTAGCCTTCAGACCAGAATGTATAGGTGGCTGCCTCTTTACTAGACATCTCTATATGGAGATCCAAAAGGTGCCTCCAACTCAAACAGACATTTCCCTCCAAAATCTGCTACTGGTGCTCTTATCTCTCTCTCTGAATGTTGACATCACCTGCTTCACTCTTGACTCATCCCTCTCATTTATGTGACTTCCTTCTCAATCACCAAGCTCCAAGGATTCATCTCCTAAATTTGACTAGAATTATCTAGAATCCTACTTCCTGAAACCAGACCACCAGTTTCTTTTGCCTGGACATCTTCACCAGACTAATAACTCTGCACTCTATCTTGCTGGCCTGTTTATCACAGTGATGTCTGAAAAATGCAAATCTGATTGTGACATTCTCATGGTTAAAACTCCTAGCTCTTAAGATGAAGGCTGGATTTCTTAATGTTGTTGATAAGGTCCTGTATAATCTAAAACTTGCATAGGTCTCTAAGTACATTTTCCCCCCACTATCATCCATGCAGTTTATAATCTAGTTGTGCTAATCTTCAAGTTTCTTATATATTCCCTGCAGTTGTCTGTCTCCCCAAAGCCTGAAGACATGTTGTTTTAGGCTTCCTTAAATATTCTTTCTCCCTCTCCTCCACCCCACTACCATGCTTTTAATCCGAATTATTCTTAACTTTGGGTGTCTTCTATTTTTTTATTTTATTATTTATTATTTTTTTATGTAAGCATATTATGGGGGTACAAATGTTTAGGTTACATATATTGTCTTTGCCCCACCCAAGTCAGAGCTTCAAGTTGTCCATCCCTCAGATGCTGTGCCCTGCACCCATTAAGTGTATAAATACCCACCCCCCCTCCCATCTTCCCAACACCCTATGAATGTTGTTACTATATGTGCACTTAAATGTTGATCAGTTAATACCAATTTGATAGTGACTATGTGTGGTGTTTGTTTTTCCATTCTTGGAATATTTCACTTAGTAGAATGGGCTCCAGCTTCTTTAGTAAGCTGTCCTGATACTTTTAAGCCTGGGTTGTGTATGTCTCTCGTGTATTCCTTTACTCTGCGGCATTTTTTCATCACAGCACTTATTACACTATATTTAATTATTTCTTGAATTGTTTGTATCCTCCACCAGATTGTAAGCTCTTTGACATCAAAGACCCTGATTATTTTATCTTTGCATCTTTAGCATGTACAACAGAGATTTGTGCATAATGTGAATGCTGAATGAATAAATAAATAAATGAATCTCATCATATTACAATGTTTAAAAGGTAAAAATTTTTAAAAAGGTATAAGCCTCTAAAATACAGTGAGAATTAAATTTAGTAAAATCTATATTTTGGTGGCCATATTTCTTTAATTTTTCCTAGAATATTGTGTTAAAAATATTCTGCTCAAGTCACAGATCATATATCACAATATATAATTTATAAACATCTTTCAGTGCATATTTATTTATAAAAATAAGATATCATTTATAACTTAATTATTTGGGGGTCAGGCAAATCCGTGTTCATTATATCAAGTTATATATTATTTAATCATTCAACATTATGGTAAACTGAGGGATTGCATGAGGGATATATATAAAGCTATTCATCTTAATCTGATGACAATGCATATACTATTTTTTAATAGGAGTAAAGGTAAACACTTAATGAGCAAATTGAAGATCAAGATCATTCCATTCCTTGAGTTTTATAATTAAATAAAATTTTATACAGACTGGTCTTGCATATTTTATTTATTCTATTTAATGAGCACTTAAGAGAAACACCTAACATCAAGGTGATAATTTTTCATTTACATAATTTCCAGAACATAAAACAGTAAAACACTGTGTGTGTGCTATAAAATATAGATATTAACATCATCTATAATCTGCATACAATTCATATAGTTGTTAAAACTATTTAGAATTATTCCTCCAAAATTGATTATTTTTTCCTAAGCTACCTGCCTAATGCCATGAAAAAAAGTCATCCTTTTCTCTGTAACTAATTAGGGTTTGTCAAAACTCAGAAATGCCAAATATCATTGTAATTTCATGTGACAGTGCCTTATATTGATGGAAGATATCCATTTCAACTTAGTAGAAATTTCCATTACTGACTTTCACCAAAAATGGTTTCTGCAAATCTCCTCTAAGTTCTGCTACTAAATTGTACATTAGATGATATAGATAAGTTTGCTTATATTTTTAGATCTCTAAATTCTGCACTTCTTTAAAGCTAAGTTAATTTCTAGAAAAAATAATCAAAATTTTGAAATTTGCTCTTTAGCACCATAACTTTAAACCCCATTTCCAACAGAAGAAATAATTAAAACAAGTTTTCTAAGAATAAGTGTGTTCACTACATTTTATGGCATTATATCTACTAGTATAAATAGTTTAAACAACCAAACCAACCCACAAAGACATATATAAAGGGCAATAACTCATTTGTGTAGACATACCTTTGCTCTTGTATCAAATTTTTCTGCCACAGTGGGTGTACAGGAAATATTGAGAACAGTGATCCCCCCAATTGGAATTATTCCTTGTGATGGAATAATAGTAATGGTAGGCAAAAGACCCTGGCCACAAACCTGTAATTGAAAATTTGCAGAAATGCTACATTATCCTTTAAAGTTACAGTTTGAAAGCTTTCATAGGAAAGCTTCCACACTATTACCTAGGGAGAGGATCGCTAGGCACTGGATATGATATGATTTTCTAATAGTGTTTGAAAATACTAGATGCACAAATAGTTTGAAGTACAAGAAATAGAAACCCTAATCCAGCAAATAGAATCTTCAGTAGTGACACCTTCCCATTCAAATAGGATAATCAAGTTTATTGTCTACAGTACTTTCAAGATTGCAAAATTTATAAAGATATTTTTCGGAGAAGATGACAACATTCTATATAATATTTTCACAGTTTGTCCTTCCCTCATCCTAAAAACTCAAAGCAAAGTTAGTGACGAGGCAGGATGATAGTAATGTCTAAGATAACATTTTGATCTTCAAAAAAGTTATAAGTAACTTACCAAGGATTTATGGTATGGTTTTTTCATAGGCCAATTCAGGTCTATTTATTATGCTTTATGCCAGAATGATTTAAAGGAAAATTGTCAAGAGATTTTGGGGCATAAAGGAACAAATAGTCTATGTAGGTAAGAACTAATTCTGATGCAGCAAAGTAGAAAAGGATGTCCTCATTTGTTTATTTTGGCCAAAGAGTTGATTTGGGCAGAAAAAACAAACAAATATAAAGCTTGAATGCAAGATCTCAAAATCTAACCTCTATTACTACTACCAGGGAGCAGGTGTCTTACTATATTTCCAGTTAAAAAACAAAACAAAACAAAAAAAACCCTATCATCACCTTGCCCCTTCTTCAATTTAAACCAAGAACAACAAGTATAAATAGACGATCTCCAGAATGGCCTTGATCTAGATCCCAGTGGCTAGTATACCAGTCCTGATTACACAATAAAAATGAAGAGAAAAGGGAAAGCATGGAACTAAATATGGAATGTAACATTAATTAACAATGTATATTTAAATTTTTTAAACATCTATTTTTTTCAATAAAACCAAAGAACAGACAGAAAGAAACAAAAGGAGAAGAGGAAAAGAAAGAGAAAGGCTAAGCAAGGAAGGAAGTGAGAGAAATGATTCTTATGAGAAATTAAATTATCTGTATTTAGATAAATCTCATATGAAATATCTAAAAATTAGTATAAGTCAATTTATAAAGAATAAAATATTTACTTGATGGTATTCATGGCACAAAAAATTGATTCAAATTATAATGCAATCTGATCCAAACAAGAAATTACTAGCATTCTATATTACCTGGAAATATGCATGGTTTTGTCCTACATTGTGAAGAATGGCTTTCCTCCAAGTTGTTAAACCTTGAGGGCAATTACTGAAGAGTATTCTTGGCTCCAAAAGTGTAACCTTTGTATGACCAAGCTAATAATGAGAGAAGGAAAGGAAAAAATGCAATTGAAATAATAGTAAATAAAATATTTTAATTGTTTTGGTCACAAAAATGAAGTATTTTAATTGTTAATGTATATTAAAGATATGATTACAGAAAGAAAATGAAAAAGTCATAATCCTCCTATATTTTTTATTCAGTATGTTCCAACAACCAAAATAAATCCCATATCAAGTTTTATATTTTAATGTTCATGAAAAAGTACTCAAGGTATTATATATTATTTTCCTAAATTTAAACTAAATCTGTGATAATCCAGTTAGGATGGGGATGTCATAGGAGATATTTTATTTAGATATTTTTGCTATAATAATTAAATATTTATATATTTAGATATGTTCAGATTAAAAAATATACATATTGATGGTAGCAATAAATGACTATAAAGCTAATAATCATATTATTCTGTACCCAGCATGAACCAGATATTAATACATGCTTAGTTCTTTTTTTTTTTTTTTTGAGACAGAGTCTCACTTTGTTGCCCAGGCTAGAGTGAGTGCTGTGGCATCAGCCTAGGTCACAGCAACCTCGAACTCCTAGACTCAAGCCATCCTCCTGCCTCAGCCTCCCGAGTAGCTGGGACTACAGGCATTAGCCACCATGCCCGGCTAATTTTATATATGTTAGTTGGCCAATTAATTTCTTTCTATTTATAGTAGAGATGGGGTCTCGCTCTTGCTCAGGCTGGTTTCGAACTCCTGACCTCGAGCAATCTGCCGGCCTCGGCCTCCCAGAGTGCTAGGATTACAGGCATGAGCCACCGTGCCCGGCCCATGCTTAGTTCTTTAGTTGCATTTTCACTACAGTCTATCAGTCTGGAAAGTACCCAGAGGCAAGCTAGGCTATGTCTATATTATTCACCTTTAAATATATAGGGCCTGAATGAGGCTTAGCACAGACTATGGGCTCAATAAATAACTGTTAAATGAATAGATTGATAGTACTATCACATTTTACAGCTGAAGAAACCAAAATTTAGGGTAGTTAAGTAAGTATTCTAAGTCATTCAATTATTAAATAACACTCACCAATTCCACTAAACATATATAAATATATTTCAACAAATACATGTAATTTTTGATGTATCAATTTAGTGTGGTCTCTCTCTAGCTGAAAATACTCCTTACTATGAATAAAGAAGTAAAGTCAATACTCCTTATGAGGAAAGAGAAGAAAGTAACAATAACAGGGATAAAAACACATTTTTTTACCCCAATGATATAACTTAATTTTTTTGACCTTCATATTGACTTTAAAAATATAAAGTGTTATCAGATTTTGTGGGGTGCCTAAGAGAAAGGAAAACAGAAAGGAATATTTAAAGTGTACTCCCAAACTGGGGAAGGTAGGGCATGGAAGATAACTCTATGAAGGAAGTAGATCCAGGACTAAGAAATATGTTGAACAAACACTGAAAGGGATCTTAGAAATCACCTACCAAACTATGTACAGGGTGTTACTATGTGCTATGCAAAAGGAAACAGTTCAAGGGTCACCTAAGTATGGGAAAGAAGGTGCCAAATGAAATTAACCAGAAATATTTCTACTAGAATCTTGTCATGGAGCTTAATATTCTGATAAGGTATATTTTGCTTATCTGAGAATGGGGAAGTAGTTCAGTGGGATTCACAAAATTATTTAGGTACAGGATTTCCACTTCCCATTCCACAAAAAGTACCTCACAGAACTACGACATCGTGACTGCATTTTGGAAATGTTGGTATTATCCACTTCTTCAATTTTGCAGGAAAACAATCAGTAGCCAACGGGAACTTTGATCAAAGTTTTCTAACCTCTCATTCAGTGCTCTTTATACTAGATCCTATTGTCTTTATCTATGAAATATTATTTCTTATTGTCATAGGTTTTAATATAGTATTATTATTTGAAGGACATGATTTGGGTAATTGGAATAGTAAATTTTCAAACAAAGCTAACAGAAAAGGAAATAGTCAAGTAAGCCAGTCCTTCATAAATGAATGACAAACTTTAAATGAACATTTTATTTAATCACTTCATGTCCCTCCATCTTTGCTTTTTTGAGACAGAGTCTCGCTCTGTTGCCTGGCTAGAGTACTGTGGCGTCAGCATAGCTCACAGCAACCTCAAACTCCTGGGCTCAAGCTATCCTTCTGCCTCAGCCTCCCAAGTAGCTGGGACTACAGGCATGTGCCACCATGCCTGGCTAATATTTTTCTATATATGTTTAGTTGGCCAATTAATTTCTTTCTATTTTTAGTAGAGACGGGGTCTCGCTCTTGCTCAGGCTGATCTCGAACTCCTGACCTTGAGTAATCTGCCTGCCTCGGCCTCCCAGAGTGCTAGGATTACAGGCCTGAGTCACCACGCCAGCCCATCTTTGCTTTCTTAATGGTAACATTGTTTCTGATAGTATTTACCCCCATCCCTCTCCCAACACCCCTTCTTGGTTTCCATTGTCTTTTATGTTTCTTTGTGCCTGTGTGCATGGTAGTTGAGTAAAAGGCTCCTTCAACAAGGATGCTTTAAAATTTGGAAAACCAGGAATATTTGCTTTCCATCAAATATTTTATTTTAATCAAATATCATATTGAAATTTTCAATAAAATGACAAGAGGAGGATGGAAAAGAGAGGAAAAATGATGGTAAAAATTGGAGGTGTACATAATCCATGTTTGGCTATTCTTCTTCACCTCCTAGTGGGATACCTCATTTCACACCTATTCAAATATATTTTTATGTGTGCTGTCATACACATTATCTTGCTCTTTCCTACTACTAGCCTTTAGTTAAATTTCTTTTTTTCTATTTGTCAATTTCTTCAATAAACTATAAGCTCCATGAGGACATGAAAAAAAAAAAAAAAAAGAAGGGCAACACTGCACAGTTGTTTTAAATTTAAGGGCTTCAAAAATTTACCTAAAGCAATCTAATTCATTATTCTGATATTTCAGAGTTTAATTCTTATCCCGTTCTGGTGTTGGGAAATCAGAAAGCAAATTTTATCACAGTGGTAACAGCAAAAGGCTGTAAAGGCAGATAGATCTGAATATAAATTCCAACTAAAGTATTTACTGCATGTGTGAAATTGCATTAGTTATTTAGCCCCTCGAACCCTCCATTTTCTAACCCATCAATTGGGTTAATAATAAATGTCTCATAGGGTTGTTGTAAAGATTAAATTATATAATACATGAAGACCATTTGGCATGGCACTTGACACACAGTAATTACTCAACAAATGGTATCTATTATTAATGCTAAGTCCAAAGTATCAAATTACTCACCTATTATATGTTAGAAAAAAAACATACATGGGGTGAGTATGTGAACAAATTTATATTAGTAAACTTGTCAAGTACAATTATGTAAATGACAGTCAAAAATCTGTGTGCATGTACTTACCAAAAGACAATTATTATAATGTTAATAGAAACACTATTATATTAACTAAATATTTGAAACAATCCAAATCTCTATCAGCTGTGTAATGGATAAATGATGATATAGTAACACAATAGAATACTATTCAGTAACAAGAATGAATAATCTACAACCACATGCATCAGCGTAGATTAATTCTGCAAACATAATAATGATCAAAGAAGCCATACATAACAGAGAATATATGCATTTATATAAAGTCTGAAGCCCAAATTAATCTATGCTCATAGAAGTAAAGATAGTGATGACCCTAGAAGAGATATGTAGTGACTAGAAATGTGCATTGGTGAGAAGGCTTCTTTTGCAGTGTGAATAATGTTCTGTTTCTAGAACTGGTTGATCTGGGGACAAGTTATAAAACTGTTATCAGTTTATGAAGATTAATAGAATGGTACATAATTTATAATATGTGCACCATCTATATGTATGTTATACTTTAGTAGAAAGTTATTTTTAAGAATAAGTAATTTACACAATGAAAAACAGTAGACCTCAGCTTATTTCAAGCTGGGAGCAGAGGAAAGACCCTACTGGTTTCTGACTGCCACTTGCCGTCACTGAAGTGAATGAATCTTTAATCTCAAGGCTATCAGTGGCTTCACAGTTGAAATATGTAACAGTATCATCCAGTCCTGGAGATACAGATGGGATTTAGTAAAAGAGCATTTGGCTTATGTTAAATTTTTAAGAACATTGGTATACAAGTAAAGGGTATTCTTGGTGATTGACAGTCATGAAGTTAAGGCCTTCTAGGATCTACCACAGAAAGAAACTTAAAATTACATATTGCAGCTTTCATTTTACTCACATTTCTATTCTGAGAAGTATATTCTATAAAAAATAAACAAAAAAATTCTGTGTTTCCTTATTATTTAAATTATGTGATCCATTTCATACTGAATTATTAATTACTACTAGAATATTAACAATGCAATAGAGTATGGCAAAACATGATTTTCTCTATTTGTCTTTGGTGTCTATTAATAAAATAATTTAATTTCAATTGGCTCCCATGATGATATTACATATTTATAGAGGCTCTAACTACAACCTAGCTTTGTTGGCACAGAAGTCTTATGTTTCTGAATTAATTCTAGATATATAGGTAACTATACACACATATGTATACCCAACCAATTTATAGATCTCAAAATGAAAACCATGTTCAAGGGAAATAATTACATGTGCAACACATTTTAGTGTCAACGTGTTTCCTTCAGAGACATGAAGAGTAAATTCTCCCCTTTCTGGAGCACTGAAACTTGGCTGCCATGTTACTTCACATTCCAGGGAGGAGTATGCTTCCACAATGCCTACACAAGATGTAGAGAGAAGATAAGACATTTATCACATTTTTATGTTTTAATTTTTATGTTTAAATTCATCATTTCCTTTGGAGTAAGGAAAACAATACTTTATGGAAAGAATAACTTAGTTCTTCCTTCAGAAAGAGAGAAGCTTCCGAAATTCAAGGGCACAGGATACTGAATGGGGAGATGAGTGACCATCACAAACAAACTTTGCCTTGGGTCAGTTGGACTTTAATATGATGGCAGTTTCCTCAATCTTAAAAAAAAAAAAAAAAAAAAGATAGCCTATCTCCTAGTTTTGCAGTAGCCACACTGAGAGATAACCAGACATGCAAAAGGATTGATTGACATAGTATGTGATGCTCAGAAAGCACCCAGTGTCAGGTATTAGTATTTTTAATATTCTTGAGTGCAAACTCTGTGCTAAGAACATTAACTTATAAAAAAGAAGAGAGCTGGTTATGGAAGTGCTATCAGTCCAATGGGGGGCAGAGAATCCATCACGATTACATTTGGCTGTAAATGACAAAAAGTCCTTTTGCAGTTAAGTAAATAGGGGTTTATTTATCTTATGCAATCAGAAGCCCAAGGATGGGTATTCCAGATCTGCCTTAACAGGCTGACAATGCCTTCAAGAACCAATGACCTCCTTCTATCTTCCTATCCTACCATTACTTATTATGTGACCTTCTTCAATATAGAAAGGCATCGGTGGTGGTTTCAAAGAGAACAAATTGTAGGGTCAGTCTTCTTGGTTCAAATTTCAGGTCTGCCACTTACTAGCGGATATCTTGGGCAATTTCCTTAATCACTCTATAGATCAGTTTAATGATATGTAACATGGGGATAACAATTGTATTTAACTCAGAGAATCATTTGGGGAATTAAATAAACTAATATCTGTAAAAGTACTTGAAAAAGGGCTGGACACATAGGAGGGGGTGGAGCTAAAAGAAATTTCTGTCTATATCTCATTGGCAAGAGAGGCTGGGGAAAAGAGTTTTGAGATGAGAACATTGTTGCCCCAAACAAAATGGGGGTCCTATTAGGAACAGGAATGGATATCAGATATGGCTTTAGCAACATCTGCCACAGAAGGAGAGATATAAACAAATAATTGTAGATGACATAACAAATGCATAACATGAGCAGAAAAGAGGGGTAAAATACCTAAATTAGCCCAAGAAAGTAGAGGAAACTTCATTATATGGAGGTGGCACTTGAGTTATGACATGAAGGATGAACAAGAACTCTGCAGAAGGACAAAGTCTGAAGAGTGTATAAAAGTCAAGTTACAGAACAGGAAAAGAGTGTGGTGTGGGGAAGATTATGATGGGAAGTAATTTTAGCAAGGATTCAGTGCTACAAATAAAGCCATCTGAATGCCCTGAGAAGACATGAAAGCAGTAAAAGAATTATGCATCCATATCTACCAGTCAGCTTGAGGATAATTTTTCCCTCCAATCACCATGATTATCTATTTTTCTTCAGAAATAGTGTGCATATCAGGGGTCAGGGGAAATAAAGTGGATGGCTGTGAAGGAAACCAAAATATTTCTCCCCAAAATATAAGAATTGTTAATTAAAGACACTGAAAATGCAGCGGAACACTATGCCTCAGTCTCTCTTTGCCTGACAGTGGGACATAAATCCTTTCTACTGGGAGATAGCACTTGCTTATTGTCCCAGAGAAGGCACTAGCAGGCACCTGAGGAATCTCGGAACAGGTTTTACTATCTTCCAACATTTTCTTGACTTTTAAATGACTGGAACTCCTTTCTTCTTTGTTTTGTCACTATGACAAGATGTATTGCTCTTTGTTAAAATGCTATCTCAGCAAGGTCCCTAAGCCACTGCCTTGAGAGAGACACTTTTTGACTGAGGCCTCTCCCATGTGATGGGTACAGCAGGCATCAATAAATTTCTGCTGTTTTTTTCTCTTATTAGTCTGACTTTTGTTTTCAGGACAGTATCTCAATTAAATACTTATGAGGATTGAGAAAAGAAATTGTATTTTCTCCTCTTCAGCTGAATTGAGCAAGATTGGGATTGGTAGGGCAGGTACAGCATATGACCAAGGACTGAGAGAACTAAGAAAGAGAGTGAGAGTGAACTGAATGAAGACAAGTTCGAGGATTGAGTGACTAGGGGTTTTAGTAAGGGTAAAGACAACAAAGACGAACACAAAACAAAACAGAAGCATGAACAATACCTACAGAAAAAGTCAACTTAGAAGTGAATTCTATCTCAGAAGATATCAATCCACTCTTGCATTCTCCCCTTACAATATCTACTATCCAAACACAAGTACAAAATCTGTTATGCCTCAGGGAGAAAGTACAAACACAATATAAATTTTAATTTAAAATTAAGACAGGCATATGATTAATTGTATGATTCAGGATGCAAAGCCAATATAGCATTAAAAAACGTGGAAAAAACTTGCTTTCTATGTATATGAAGAGGCAAGAACAATACAAAATGGAGTAATTATTATATGAATATTCTGAGGGAAAAAATATAAGCAAATTTATGTATGAAATACAAATTATAAATACTTTCTTCAATGTTATAAGAAATAGATTTGAGTATTATATTCTTGGTACTATGAAAATAGAAAAAGACCTGGGGGGGGTGGCGAGGGCAATATATGTAACCTTAACAATTTTTGTACCCTCATAATATGATGAAATAAAAAAAGAAAAAAAATAGAAAAATACCTTAAAAACTTATGGCATTACTCTTACAAACATTTTATTTGGAATTAAGTATCTTTGTGTTTTTGTGCCTCAGTGATCAGTTAAAAAAAGTGAGAGATGTCATGCACAACCCAAAGAAAATAAAAGTATAATAAATGCCAAAGTCTCTCCTATAAAAAACAAGAGTTCATGCTGGAATTGCTTACGTCCAGAAAAAAGAAAAGAAAATTAAATAATATAACAAACAAACAAACAAAAACAAGAGTTCTGAAGACCATGTAAAGCATAACTGGTGCTCCAGTTTACAATATTGTAATTCCATTTCTCTTTTATATAAATTAAACATCATCATTGCATTTCCATGGCAGCCACAAGGCAAGCCCAGTCCATTCCACCTTTGTTAAGATGGAGAAATACAAGGAAAATTATTAATATTAGTACACCATAATTTTTAGAAACCCTTAGCACAATATCAGATGGTTGGTCAGAATCTATAGCTGGAATGCTGAAAGCATAAAAATCACTGTTTGATATCTGTTCAAATAAACTGAAGAGAGTTAATCTAGAATCTATGAAATGTATAGAAATATGTTGTCTTTCTTCTCTAATCATTCTCTCAGCATTTCTCTAGATTGGGACAGGACTCAGTATTATCAGTATTACATTTTTTTTTTTTTTTGAGACAGAGTCTCGCTTTGTTGCCCAGGCTAGAGCGAGTGCCATGGCATCAGCCTAGCTCAAAGCAACCTCAAACTCCTGGGCTCAAGCAATCCTACTGCCTCAGCCTCCCGAGTAGCTGGGACTACAGGCATGTGCCACCATGCCCGGCTAATTTTTTCTATATATATTAGTTAGCCAATTAATTTGTTTCTATTTATAGTAGAGACGGGGTCTCGCTCTTGCTCAGGCTGGTTTCGAACTCCTGACCTTGAGCAATCCGCCCGCCTCAGCCTCCCAGAGTGCTAGGATTACAGGCGTGAGCCACTGCGCCCGGCCCTCAGTATTACAATTTAAAAATATCTTGGTCAATTTAATCTGTAAAATATTGATGAAAGTAATACCTTATGTGTTTAATAAGTTATGATCTAGAATGATGCTAAATCAATCCAGGTTAATAAAAACATTAAACAGCCATATTAATGATCTCCAACCCTAATGAAGGGACTGTCCTACTCTTCCATTTCTTAAATTTGTCAACATTTCCATCTATACCTCCACATTAAAATTAAGTGAATTTAATTTAATACTGAAGACTGATATCTTTTTGAGAAGGAGGTCTCTCTCACTATGTTGTCCAGGATGGTCTTGAAATCCTGGGCTTAAGTGACCCTTCTACCTCAGACTCTCCAGTAGCTAATGACTATAGGCATCACCATTGCACCCAGCTTTAAGATTGATTTTATAACACTCGATATTATAAATACTTGTGAAGTTATATAAAATCCTGATTTGGAGATGACTGATATTCACAAAAAATACACCTAAGGCAAGATTTCTACAAACCGGGACTTCTCTGTGATCTGAAGTATAGTCTATTTAGACCCTAAATACTGACCATTTCTAAATTAGAGTTAAAGAGGGAGATAGGGAGAAAGAATGTAGGTAAGAAAGAAAGGAAGGAGGAAGAGAGAAGGAGGGAAGCAGGGATATGGGGATTGATAATGGGGATGGATGGCAAGATGCATGACAGGCTGTTATTATTCTGTGGACACTTTCAGGAAAAAGAAAAGTCTGAACAGAATTAGAAAATTGTCATAATCAAACAGCTATCCATTTATCTGGCACCTACACTTTGCCAGGTATTATAGAAGTTTCCCACACATTTAATCTTTATAAGATGTATTCTTGTCTCCATTTTACAGATGAAAAACTCGTTGCTCATAGAGTACTTTACTCAAGTTAAACTAGCTAGTGAGAAGTTAAGACTACTTTTGAAGTCTGGTCTTTCTGACTCCAAAGTTTGTTTGACTTTAAGCTAGGCTTCAGCTGGTTATAAAGCACCATGTGAGTCACTGCAGATACAAAGATCTGGATTTTTCCATCTAGCTGGGAAAGCATGACATGTACATAAAACAAAGATACTGTATGATCATTCAACTTCTAAGTTGCCATTTCATTTCCTCAAATGATAGCTTGTGTCCTCATGAGGTCTTCGCAGCACATCGCAATGATGTTTGCTAAATTTGACAGGCCACTACATAAGTCATAGTATAGCAGTTACCAGAATTCATTTTATGACAAGTATATCATGTGGAATTACAGATTCCAGGGAATGGCAGAAGCAAGGTTAAGAAGACAGTAACAAATATAGGGCACCATCAAATATGGTAAATCTGAGATAGTTTTCTATAAATTAAAAAATTTTCTTATTTAAATGATAATTCTAAGTTCTTAATTTTATTAATCATATTTTACTAACTGTATTAGAGATTGACTATAAATAATTTCTGGACCCTTCAAAAAGAATTCACACTCAAAAATGTAAGTCATTCTGAACCATATCTTATCATCATTATAAAACTAAAACTAAACAAAAATTACTTTATCCATTAACATCTGAGATGGTTCATTTTATTTGTCAACATGGCCAGGCTGAGGGGCTCAGTTGTTTGGTTGAATATCAGTCTATATGTTGCTGTGAAGGTATATTTTTAGCTATAATTAACTTTTAAATCGGTAGACTTTTTAACATAATTGATAAAGATTGTACATATTTAAGGTATATAGAGTGATATTTGATATATGTATATACTGTATAATAATTGCTACAAGCAAATTAATTAACATGCAGATTACCTTTCATAATGTGGGTGAGCCTCATCCAGTAAGTTGGAAGCCTTAAGAGAAAAGACTGAAGTCCCCAGAGGAATAATGAATTCTGCCTCCAGAATGCCTTAGGACTCAAGATTGTACCATCAATTCTTCCTTGGGTCTTCAGTCTGCCCAACTTACCCTACAAATTTCAAACTTGCCAGCCCACACAACCATGTGAGTGAGCCAGAGCCAGTTCCTTAAAATCTTTTCTCTCTCTCTCTCTCATATTTATATATAGGAGCCATATTTTTGAATCATATTTATGTATCTAAAAATAAGTGCCCCTGATGACAGCATCTGATTTATTTCTATGCTCTTAGCACCAGTACACAATACACACTCAATAGATGATCAATGCCTGAATACATGAATGCATGAATAAATGAATGTCTAAATCAAACAAACAGAATAAACCATTACCGTTAGCAGGACAAATGGAAAATGCCATCCCTCTTTCAGTGTTTGCCGGTTGCCACCCAAATTGGGCAGAACAATTCTGACGATTATATAATCTAATCGTCCCCTGAAAACATGTTTTCACCAAGAAGCCGTGTGGTCTCAATACTAGTTCGTCAGAAGATAGCTCAAGTTTTACCGGTCGGACAACTGCCATTACAAGGATGTGTCCACTGGGTGTGTTGTTCACTGTGAAGGTGAAAGACCTGCAACACAGTAAAAGTATTCAAATTTAACTGATAGTTATTTATGAATATAGAATTCAATTACATGTAAAAATGAGTATACTATTGATTAATATCCACAATTCTTAGCATGTAATATTTCAAACTAATTATGAAAGATAATTAGGTTACCACTGAAATATGAGTCTACAAATCTACAAATGCACATGTAGTTTCTTTGTTTGGGGAACAAATATAATATATACTATAATTATTTACACAAATAAATACATATTCCACAAAAAGACACTTAGATTCTAGCAAGCAGAAATTTGAAAGTAATTCCTACTTCCAAAATTTTCCAAGCATGGTAGACTCAAATATCACTGTAATGTTAGTATTGCATGTAGGTGGAATCACATATGAAAATTGCTTGGTCTTTTGAAGTTCTTCCAAATTAGTATCTAACTGGATCAAAATATGTATAGGTAGCATATTAATCACATGTAGTAGATGATCACTTGCAGAGTTCACGCAAATATTACCAAAGTTAAGGACAGAAGGCCCTGAAGAAAGGAAAAAGTGTTTCATTAAGTTTAATGTTAGCACATATGTTCATTTATTTTTTAAGTTTTCAAAATACATTTTGATTAATCTAATTACATAAAACTGACACAGAAAATGTTTACTATATTATAGGAAATTATTAAGCAAGCATTTCATCTAAATGATCATAATTTAATGTTTGGAGATTATTGGCTAAAATTCAACATAAATGTATTCTAATTATATAGAAAATTATATGAAAAAATATTAAGCAGTCATTATAATTCATCTTAGCACATTGATTTTCAATACTCCAATACCTTCTCTATTTTCACCAATACAATTATTTTATTCACTTATGCAGAATTTACAGAAATTGGTAATTTTCCCATGACTCATTGGTTAAGTTTTCCCTTGTAAATGCCAAAGGTTTTATATCATGACAATTTTAATAATTATAAATCTTACCCTGCCTTTTTAAAAAGTTTAATTTAGCTATAAATGATACAGAATAAACCGAACATAAAGTATAGAATTTCATTAATGTTGGCATGCGTGTGTGTGTGTGTATATTGTACATACCTGTGAGAATTACCACAATAATGAGTGAACATTCACCCTCTAAAAAGTTTTCTTGTGCCCCTTTATATTCTTCCCCTCCTACCATTCTCCATATGACCATTTCCCAGACTACCACTCATCTGCTTTATGTCACTGTAGAATAGCTTGCATTTTCTGGTGTTTTGTATGAATGGAATCATATAGCATGTACCATTTTAGTCTGGTTTCTTTCACTCAGTAAATTCCCCAGAAATTCATGCAAGTTGTTGTGTCAGTAGTTCATTCTTTTACATATTAAGTAGTATTCCATTATATTTGTATATCACAATTATGCTTGTCTATTCACTCATTGATTGACATTAGAATTGTTTCCAGTTATTGACTATTACAATTAGAACTGCTATAAACATTTGTTCACAAGTATTTTCTTGAACAGATGCTTGCATTTCTCTTGGATAAATATCTAGGAGTGGAATGGATGGATCATATGGTAGACGTATGTTTAATGTATAGAAACTTTTTTAAAGTGGCATGTGTAAATGTGTTAATGTGTATAATTTCACATTCCCACTGGCAGTATATAAGAGTTCCAGCTTCTTCACATCTTTAGCAACAATTTAAATGTCAGGTACTTTTTTTGTTTGTTTGTTTGTTTTAATCTTTTTGTTTGTTTGTTTTAACCTTAGCCATCTAATAAATTTACAAAAGTATCTCATTATAGTTTTATGTTGTGTTTCCCTAACAACTAAGGCAGTTGTGCATTTTTCCATGTGCTTGTTTGCCATTTGTATACATTTTTTAATGAAATGTTTCCTAAATCTTTTGCCCATTTTCAAAATTTAGTTAGATTTGAGTCTTAAAAGTTTTATTATACATTTCCTTTATCAAATATATAATTTGTAAATATTTTTCTTAGTCTATGGATTGTATATTTTTTACACACATGACTACAAAACTCTTATTTTAAAAGGTTGTTGGAAGTGGGGATTCTAGAACACCTGATTGAGAAGCATGGTAAATCTCCTTCAAAATCAACAGTAAAACTTGACAAAATTTTTGGCCAGGCAAGGTGGCTCCCGCCTATAATCCTAGCACTCTGGGAGGCCAAGCCGGGCAGGATTGCTCGGAGGCCAGGAGTTCAAAACCAGTCTGAGCAAGAGCGAGACCCTGTCTCTACTATAAATAGAAACAAATTAATTGGCCAACTAATATATATAGAAAAAAATTAGCGGCATGGTGGCGCATGCCTCTAGTCCCACTACTTAGAGGCTGAGGCAGCAGATCTTGAGCCCAGGAGTTTGAGGTTGCTGTAGCTAGGCGACGCCATGGCACTCACTCTAGCCTGGGCAACAAAGTGAGACTCTGTCTCCAAAAAAAAAAAAAACAAAAAACAAGAAAAAAACTTGATAAAATTTTCATAAACAATCATTTAAAGACTGTAAATTGACCAAAAGCACACAGCAAATTGAGAAACATTTATTTGAATATATCTACAAAATATTATTATGAGCAGTGGGAGCCTGTGGAGTTTTAGTTTAGAGTTGCTCCAATTGCCCACACCTAGCTCTGTGGTGCAGAAGTGTTACCAGAGTGAGAGGAAGCTGACTTTAATTGGAACAAAGGTAGAACTTCCATACATAGAGGTGTTGTGAAAATAATAATGATTTCAACAGCAAACATTTAGAGACAGACAATATTATGACCTCAGGTCTCAGTACTGACTAGGGCAAGTGAAAAAGAGAGAAGCCAGGAATTTAAGACTGAGATCTGGGGGATTAGAAAATGGCGGAGTAGGGGTGCCCTCCTGGCTCTCTGCTCCCAGAGTGAAAAGTGAAGAAAGCGGATAGCCACATTTGAGCGATCTGCACTTCCACGGGACCAGCTTCGCAAGCCTGCAGACATCCAACAGGAAACGGAGGGATAAGACCATTTGCAGCCTAAAGCAAAGGTAACCGATCATTCTTCACAAAAACTCGGGATTCGGAGGCACACAACAGGAGGAGCGAGGCGAGGTTTAAGCCGCTGCTGGCGGGCAATGGCGCCAGCCCTACCCGGTGCTGAGAAACACCCCCTCCCACACCGGGCCGGGAGGTGCCTTTAGTTGGTGAGAAGTGGCAGCTCGGGGGAACTAAGCCGTGTGGAGAGGATACTAGACCAGGGAACACGCTGAGTTCGCCAGAGCACACAGCGGCCGCAGTTTAAGGTGGGAGAGGGTCCTCGCGCAGCAACCGCTCTCCGTGCAGCAGGAACCAGAGCCCACTCGGGCATCTCCCTGCAGAACACTCCGAGGTCAAGGTTAAGGGGAGTTTACACAGAAGGAGGCTTTGACTTTGGATATAGAGGAGGTTTGAGATAGCACTGAGAGGTCAGAGTGCGCAAAGTTAGACTCCTCGATCCATTAGGACCCTGCTCCCTCTGCCCCTCTGGCACCGCTCCCCCCCCCCCCCCCCCCCCCGCATTCCGGCGCTGACTCGGCATTCCAGCACTGATTTGGGCTCCGGGTTTGGAGGGGAGGCACAGAGAGAGCGCTGGTACGTGCCCCTGCTCCACCAATTTGATATTGGACCGTCACTTGCTGCATAAGTGGCACTGACTCTGTGCTCAGAGAGTGGACCCTGCCTGGACGGCAGTGCTACAGGGGAGATTGCCCTTGGCAGATTTAAGGCAGAAAAACACTGCCTTCCACACTCTCCTGTGACCCGGAGCCCCGCTCTGGGCTCCAAAGTCTCTGTCCCAGCCTTGGGGGCGGAGCTGAGATAGCAACTGTTCTCATTCCTGCCGCTTATCTCCACCTGTGGAAGAGACAGAAGACAGGGCCTGGTGGGTCTGGCTTCAGGACAATCTCTCACTGCACAGGTCTCCCGCGCTCTGTGTCCAGAGTGCGGAGCCCGCCTGGGCAGGCCTAGCCTTGAAGGAGGCTGCCCTTAGTGGCTATAAGGCAGAGAGATTTTACGTCCACCACCGTCCCGTGTCCTGTGGCTGAGCCTTTGGCTCCAAAGTCTCTGTCCCCACCTTGGGGGCGGAGCTGAGATAGGAACTGTTCTCATTCCTGCGGCTTATCTCCACCTGTGTAATTAAGGAGACAGAAGACAGGGATTGGTGGGTCACATTGCCTGCCTGCCTGCTTTTGGTCAGTCTCTCCCTGAACAGGTCTACTGCGCTCTGTGTCCAGAGTGTGGAGCCCGCCTGGGCAGGGCTGAGTCTCGTGGGAGACTGCCCTTAATGGCTATAAGGCAGAGAGACTTTACGTCCACCACGCTCCAGTGTCTTGTGGCTGAGCCTTTGGCTCCAAAGTCTCTGTCCCTGCCTTGGGGTCAGAGCTGAGAGAGGAACTGTTCCCATTCCTACCGCTTATCTCCACCTGTGTAATTAAAGAGACAGAAGACAGGGATCCGTGGGTCTGGTTACGGGCCTGCCAGCATCAGGCCAGTCTCTGCCTGCACAAGTCTCCTGTGCTCAGTGTACAGGCCCTGGAGTTTGCCTGGGCAGGGCCGAGCCTAGTAAGATGCTGCCTTTGGTGAATACAAGACAGAGAAACGTTATGACCCACACACTCTGGTGACTTGGGGCTGGGCCTTCGGTTCCAAAGTTTCTAGCCCGGCCTTGGGGGTGGAGCTGAGATAGAAACTGCTCTCGTTCCTGCCATCTATCTCCACCTGTGTAATTAAGGAGGCAGAAGACAGGAGGCCGCCGGAGCAGCCCGAAGACCAGCGGAAGGGTAGGGGAATTGGCTGTTTCCCCTCCACTACATCTCGGACTGCTGGTGGGCTCCCCAGCAGGTAGAGAGACCTGCAGACACCAGTCCAGCAACGGCTGCCACCAGTGAGGAACACCACCTACCGCCTCAGAAACTAAACAAGACGTGTGAATACCCAAACGAAAACCTAAAGGAAAGAAACAACAACTGAGCGAAATGGGAAGAAATCAGCGAAGGAACTCTGGAAATATGAAGAAACAAATGGAAAACACACCCCCAAAGAGGAGCAACACCCCTTTAGAAATAGACAAAAACCAAAATCTGGCAACCAAAATGACATAAGAGAAATTTCGAATGTGGATCATAAGAACACTCACCCACCAGCAAGAACAACTATTAACCAACACAAAGAAACCACAAAAAGCCTCCAGGATATTGAAAAAAAGGTTCATTAAAGAAATCGACACAGTGAAGAAAACTTTAACCGAATTCCTGGAGATGAAGAATCAACTCAGGGAATTACAAAATACTGTGGAAAGTCTCAAGAACAGGGTAGAATAAACAGAAGAAAGAATCTCAGAGATTGAAGATAACACCTTCCAATTAAATAAATCAGTTACAGAGATAGAGCAGAGAAACAAGAGAAAAGAAAAAAGACTATAAGAGCTGTGGGATTATGTGAAGAAACCTAACGTGATGGTCATAGGGTTACCAGAAGGGGAAGAAGACAACACTCAAGGGTTGGACAAGCTGTTTGAAGAT